TTTAATTTATTAAAAATCTTTATTTAATTAAAAGAAAACATATTAGCTTTAATTATAATTCTTTCTAAGAATCCTTTCATATATAAATAATAATAATATTTTAAAAAGCTTTAACTAGCTCTTAAATATTTTATATATTATTTATTCATTTAATTTAATAATAAAATCTTTATCTCTCTTTTTTAGCTATTAAGTTTTTTTTAAAATAACTTTTACTGAATATTTTCCTTTTCAATTAATACAAATAATTAGAGGTTGTTAATTATCACTCTATTTAAATAAAAATTAATTTATAATTATTAATTATAATAAGTTTATATAAAATATATTATAGACTCCAGCGGGTATATTAATATAAATAAAATAAATTTTTAATATTTTAATAGATTAATAGTTAATATATTTCTAATCTAGTTTTCTATTCAGTCAGTTAGTATTAATATTTTTTTGAATTAGTTAGATTATATTCTCAATCTGATATATTAAGATAAATATCTATAATTTATTTATTTATTTATATATTTATATATTAAATATATATTAAATATTTTCTAGCCTAGTTATTAATTTCTTTGATAATATAAATAATATATTCTTTAATATATACTGGACTTTGAGAAGTTTATTATGTAAAATAAATTAGTTTAAACTAAAATTGAAAGAATAAATTATATTTGTAGTTTAAAAAAAGAAATATACTAGTTAATTTTTGGGTTTAAATATTAATAATTAATTTAATAAATAAAAGAACTGGCTCTAGTTATCTTAATTATAGTAAATATAAATTTAAAAATAAATGTCTATAATATTATTCATTTACTTAATAAATTCATTTATCTGGAGATAGTATACTATAAATAATTATTTACTAATACTTATTAATATATATAGCAATTTTTGAATTCTATTTATAAATTATATTTCATAATGAGAGATAACTTTATATATTATATTATTATATATAATTATCCAGGATTATTCATGCTAAATTTATAGTTATAATTTTTTGGGTTTTTTAATTTTATTTTTTTAATTTAACAATAATAATTAAAATATTAATATAATCTCTACTCTCAGGTAATCTAATATTAAAATCTATATTAATATTCTATCATAAATATTCAGAAATTAGAAATAATTTTAATAATTTATATTTTTTATACCGGATCTTTATTTTACTATAAGTATTATAATTTTATTTAAATTTCTGTATATTTCATATTATGTTAGACTAGAAGTATTTTAATTTATAATTAAATATATTTATTCCCGGTCTGAATATTTGATTGATAGAGAATTATAGATTTTTTATATTTATTTTATTTACAAAAATTTATAATCAGAGATTTATTTTTACTATTTTAAAAGTCAGAATCTCTTATACATTTATTATATATCTAAAATAAAGTTTTTTAGTCCTAGACCAAGTAAGAATCTTTATATTTCTTTTTGATTTTTAATTAATTTCATAATATAGATTATCCTGTTTTTTAATTTTTTTCTTATAATAATATAATATCAGCAGGCATGAAAACTAGCCCTAAAATCTAATTTAATAATTTTATAATATTTATTTAATTAGAAAATTTAGAAAATTTAGAAAATTTATATTATAATATATTTATTTTGGTACTCAGGCTTGTCTTAGTCTTTTAAAGAAATATTAATTAATTTATTTTTTATATTTTTCTAATAAATAGAAAAATGTTAAATTTATTTGAAAGACTTTATTAAATATATTTTTCAAATAATTTTTTTGATATATAAGAATTTTCTAGATTCTTGTAATTTTTAATTACTTTAAATCTAGTAATAAAATAATTTAGTATTTTAGATTTTTATATATTTAATAATAAATAATAATCTTTTATTATAAATTTTATAATTATACTTTATTAATATTTTTTGAAAAATAAATATATAAATATAATTTTTTTATTACTTAAAAATAAATATTTTTTTAAATTATGGCCTGCGAAATTAGTTTCTAGAATAATTAATTTATTAAGATTAGAAAAAGTAAGTACTAGTTCTATATGAAAATTTTTTAAATATGAAATTTTTTAAATATTTTCGAGTTTATTAAGACTAGATATTTTAATAAATAAGATTATAAAGGGGTTTGAATAATCTTATAAAATTTAATATAAATTAATAATGAAAATTAATAACTCTAATAAATCTAAAAATTTTTTAACTATAATCAAAATTTTTTATTTCCTAATTACATAAATTTCTTTAGAATTTATACTTACTTTCTGTCCAGTCTTAATGATAAATCTGAAATATTTAGTTTTTTTTTTATTTTATATTTATCAATACTAAGATATAATCTAGTTGTTTATAATTTAATTAAAAACTATAATTGATGAATTATTTATTTATTCTTTATTTAATGATTTAATCATTTTTTTATAATATAATAAGCTTTTTTATAATATAATAAGCTTTTTTCTGGATATATTATATAAAAGATTTTATAGAAAAACAGAAATTTCTTTATTTTTTTCTAATTTAATAGAGTAGTCAATGCCTGACTTATAATCTAAAAATAAAATTCTAGTATTTTTTAATTTAGATAATTCTAAGAACTGCTAGTATTTTTTAAATGATTTATTTTTTAAATTTAATTAGATTTTAGTATATAAATTTCTTTTATATATTTTTAATTATAAAACTCTTCTTTTTCTTTTAACTTATATTTGATAAACTATAGCTAATACTCAAATTTAAATATATTTAAAATACAATATTTATATCAACTTAATTCAGATTCAGATTATATAAAGATAAATTTAGTTTTAATTTAATTTAATTTTTTATTATAATATTCCAGCCAGGGAAGGCCTAAGATAATGTTATATTTTAAATTATATTTAAATATATATATATATATATAATCTAGACTTAATATAGATCCTGATATCTAAATATATTTAACTAATATATTTAATATAATTTTTCTCTTTTTAATCCCAGATACTAGGATTAGAGTAGTAAGAATTAGATTTAATTTATATTTTTTTATATATATTGAGTTAATTAAATTATATATAAAATATTTTATACTAACTATAATATAAACATTACTTATTTAAGTAATAATAGTTTCCAGAACTAATAATTTAGTATATTATATTTTTTAAAAAAATCTTTTATTTATAATAAATCCGTTTATTTGAAGATTTTTATTTAAGATTTTATATAGAGACTATTTTTTTTCTTGGTTTTATTTTTTTAATTATTTATAATTTTATATTAAATATTTTCTATATTCTGCAGGGGCTGCCTGAATTAAAAATTGAAATATTAATTTTTAGTAATAATCCTTGATCAGATATTTATTTTTTAATATAATTCTTTAGTTAAGACCTACTTAATAAAATAAGAATTATATTAATTTAAATTCTTAGGTTAAATTATATATCAATAACTAATAAAATAATTAGATTTACTATAAGATAAGAAAAAAAACTAGATTATATTATTATATATGTCTTTTTTATTTTATAATTATATTAATAAAAAGGTTAATATTCCTGTTTCAAAATATTTCTATAATAGTAATCTTAGTAGATAAAATTATTAGAAAACTTTAATTAGAATTTTTTTATATTTTTTACTAGACTAGACTACATAGTCAGGAATAATCTTATAAAAAATTTAATATAAATTATAAAATATATATTAAACTTTTATCTTAAACAAGTGATACAGGTAAGGATAAAAATAATTATATAGATTAAAACAGAAATTAAAGAGATCAAGAATAAAATAATAAAATAATATTATCAATCAATATTTATATTCAATAAAAGACCTGTCTGGTCACTAGAATTATTAATAATGAAAATTTCAAGATATTTTCCGGGTGTAATAAATATTCTATTATAAAATATATTTAATAAATTTAATCCAGGAAGTCTTCAGCTTAAAAATTAGATTAATTTTTATATATTATATAATCTATTAAAAGTAGATTATATATTTATAAACCTAGATAATAATAAAATCAGGATTACTGATTTCTAAAATAAATTACTGTTTTATTAGAGATAATAGTATCTAGTAATTATAATACTATATAAAAAGTAAATATAAAATATATATAGAAGAATATAGACCTGCCTAGAGAAAAATAATAAATATAAATAAGTGTTCTGTTTAATTAGATATCTTTATATAGAACATTATTTTTAATAGTTAATTCTATAGCAGTACTAGTAGTACTGGTAATACTAAGAGTAGATACATTATAAATATAAGCATATTATATATATAGTATAAAAAAGATTACAGAGTAGCTTTATTTTTTCAGGATTAAATAGAGATCCTGTTTAAAGTCTTTATAAATATTTTTATTTTTCAAGATCTCTCAGAAGCCTGGGTTTATTACTTTATATAAGTATTATTCATCAAGTCTTTTTGTTATCTTATTACTGTCTTTGCAGGCTCCTGTTCGTGTTTATATTGACTGTGTTAGCTATGTTACTTATAAGCAGGTCAACCCCCTGATTCAGTGTGTCTCTTCGAGCGAAGATAAAGTGGTGTTCGAAAGGCGCCTGAAGCGAAGACTCAGGGAGGAACCGTAGAAGATATATTAGCTAGGTAAAGAATTGATAATTAAATATTATAAAATTCTACAATAAATATAAAAATGGCCCTTATCTATAAGGTAAACTAATTCTTAAAGAATTAATCATAAAAAAATGAAGGTTTCTTATCTTATACTTATCACAATAGGCTAGAATAATTATAGAATAATTATAACATTTTATATATCACAATATATTATTTTGATTGTCTTGATCATAAAACCTCACCATTCTATCACAACTCCATGCTTCTAGATGATATAATATCTAATATATCTAATATAGCTATCACATCTGGTTTTATAACGATTTCTTACCTAATTTATATTTTTGGATATAAAGTCAAATTAGACAAGATGTTTTAAGATAATTAATATGTAGGGCTTATGATTTTATAAGGTCTAAATTTTATCCGAAATAAAAAAATTTATATCTTATTTTTTCATCTATTAGAACTTAAGACGAAATGCTGCCCCAGCAATCAACATCAATTTCCATTGGCTCACCACATACATCAATAGGCCCTTCTAAGATACCGCGGCCACTCGTAGTTGCGCTTGCGGTTGAGCTTTTGGTACAGTCCCGACCTTGCGTATGAGAATCATGTTGAATTCTCCTAGCGCGCTCTCGTGTAGCTATTAGCGCTTTTCGTACATTATCATCCTCCTTAGGGATTGATAGTGATGTAGGCTCGGTGTAAAGGACCAACTCGTTGCACGGGCTTGTAGTATTTGCGACCAATAACTTCGGAATAGTTGACATCCGGTCAGCAACTCCGGGAAGGATCTCAAGACAACTATCCTTTGATCCAATATCCTCTAGTTCTCTGTCCAGATCATGTATGTAAATGGTATCCTTGGTATCGTCCAATAACATTGTATCAGTTTGGACGGAAGCAGGAAGCTTCCTGTCACTGATGTCATGTTCGGAGGTTATGGTATCTTATCAAGCAAAAGAGTTCGAATCAGGTCCAGTGAAACTCAGACAAGGGTGATCGTAATGTAGATAATAGGATAGATGGTGCAGAAACATACTGATATGCAACCGACCGAATCTCTTTGCCAGAGGTTGATCACCCTCAGGGTAACTCTCTGCGGGGCGCTTTTTCCCGTGATTGATTTTCTCACCAGCATGTGCCATTAGCCACACAACCACTGACCTTTTATTTCCTTCCCCTTTCTTGGTGGATGAGGGAATAGACCTGGTAATCGAATTATATATTAATTATGGTACTGCACATGACAGGGTGAACATTGAAGTTAAGTAAAACTGGATGTTACAACCGACGAGTCGCTTGATGCGTATTCATAGGTTCATAAAGGAGGGGGAACTGGCTTTGACTCATCTATCTTCACCATTTAGGTCACAACCCAGAACATTCTACCACCTTCACACTCCCCCACTTTCAAATCTTTTGCCCGCAAAAACCATCACAAGACCATTCAGTATGGCTTCAGATAATGATCTTAAGTTGGAATGGACCTCCAAACGTGTCCGTGATACGTTCCTTCATTATTTCAAAGAACATGGCCACACTTTTGGTAAGTAATATTTTCGGGGCAGTTTCTCGATCAAAACTGATCATAATTAAAACCGCCAGTTGCCTCATCTCCCGTTGTTCCTCACTCGGATCCAACATTGCTATTTACCAATGCTGGAATGAACCAGTTCAAATCGATTTTTTTAGGAACGGTGGATCCTAACTCTGATTTCGCAAACCTGAAAAGTGCAGTCAATACTCAAAAAGTCAGTACTTCAACCCCACCAGTTTTAGCTGATTCTAACACAGCCCGTAGTGCATTCGCGCAGGAGGAAAGCATAATGTAAGTACAATGCGCATGATCATCACTAGACACAAAAGATTGGGTTAGTCGAAGAGACTTGAGCATCTACTGATTCTCACGAATGTAGGATCTCGACGACGTGGGCAAGGATAGTTATCATCATGTGAGAGAATGTCACCAAATCCGTGGCTTTTATGATGCTAATACACCAATGATTATTAGACTTTCTTTGAAATGCTCGGCAACTGGAGTTTCGGGGACTATTTCAAAGAGGATGCGATTCGCTATTCTTGGGAATTGTTAACCAAGATCTACGGTTTAGATCCCACTCGTCTCTATGTTACCTATTTCGAAGGAAATAAGGATGGTGGTCTAGAGCCAGATCTCGAGGCCAAAGATCTGTGGAAGGCCGTTGGCGTTCCGGAGGATCATATTCTTCCAGGCAACATGAAGGACAATTTCTGGGAGATGGGTGATCAAGGCCCATGTGGCCCTTGCAGCGAGATTCACTATGACAGAGTCGGTGGACGTAATGCTGCTCATCTGGTGAATCAAGATGACCCAAATGTATTGGAAATTTGGAACAACGTCTTCATCCAATACAATCGTGAAACAGATCGATCCCTGCGGCCGTTGCCCAACAAGCATGTCGACACCGGAATGGGATTTGAGAGATTGGTGTCTATCTTGCAAAACAAGTCGTCAAATTACGATACCGATGTGTTCACTCCCATATTCCAAACCATTCGAGATGTTACCGGAGCCAGGGAGTACCGTGGATGCTTCGGTAGTGATGATTCTGATGGTATTGATACTGCCTATCGTGTCATAGCGGATCATGTTCGGACCTTGATGTTTGCAATTTCAGATGGTGCGGTCCCAAATAATGATGGTCGCGGCTATGTCATCCGTCGTGTTCTCCGCAGGGGTGCTCGATATGCCAGAAAATATTTTGGTGTCGAGATCGGTAACTTCTTCTCAAAGATTGTTCCAACAGTCGTTGATCAACTGGGCGATATGTTTCCAGAACTGAGAAGAAAACAACCCGACGTCATGGAAATATTAGACGAAGAAGAGATGTCATTTGCTAAGACTCTGGATCGCGGCGAGCGGCAATTTGAACATTATGCCCAGCAGGCTAAGGCAAAGGGGGCTGACAAATTGCACGGTGCCGATGTTTGGAGGCTCTATGACACGTTCGGATTCCCGGTCGACCTTACTCGTATAATGGCAGAAGAACGGGGTTTGCAGATCGATGACCGAGAGTTCGAGGAAGCGCGTTCGCGAGCAAAGGAAGCAAGCAAAGGCCAGAAGAAAACTTCCGCTGAGACAGTCAAGTTGGATGTTCATGATCTGGGCAAGCTCGAAGCCATGAATGACGTCCCCAAGACTGATGACACTGCCAAGTTTGGAAAGGGTAACATTACCGCCCAAGTGAAGGCCATATACCAGGGCAAGATGTTCCACTCATCTACAGACGAGGTGCCCGATGGCGAGCAACTTGGAATTATCCTTGACCGAACAAACTTTTACGCTGAACAGGGTGGACAAGAGAATGACACGGGTAAAATTGTCATCGATGGACAATCGGAGCTTGAAGTAGGTGATGTTCAGCTTTATGCTGGATACGTCCTGCACACTGGTTTCATGAAGTACGGCTCCATCTCAGTAGGTGATACTGTCATTTGCGAATATGATGAACTGCGTCGTTGGCCGATCAGGAACAACCACACTGGAACGCATATTCTTAATTTTGCGCTCAGAACTGTTTTGGGGGACGGTGTGGAGCAAAAGGGTTCCCTCGTCGCAGCGGAGAAGCTGAGGTTCGACTTCTCTCACAAGTCTGCTATTTCGGACAAAGATCTGGCTCGGATTGAAGAAATCTCGACTGAGTATATTCGACAAAACTGTACTGTGTACTCTCAAGAGCTTCCTCTTGCAACAGCCCGCGAGATATCTGGGGTTCGTGCCGTATTTGGAGAAACTTATCCCGACCCGGTCCGCGTTGTCTCCGTTGGTGTGGAGCTGGGTGAGATACTCCAAAATGTGAAGGATCCGCGTTGGAAAGAGGTCAGCATTGAATTTTGTGGGGGTACCCACGTGCAGAAGACAGGGGACATTAAAGATCTCATTGTTCTGGAAGAGGGCGGTATCGCCAAGGGCATCCGCAGAATTATCGCTGTGACCGGAGAAGATGCGCATGAAGTGCAGCGTTTGGCAGCGGAGTTTCAAAAGAGGCTTGATCTTCTAGAAGCAATGCCCTTAACTACAGAAAAAGAGAAGGAGGCAAAGCAGATTCAGGCCGAGCTCAATCAGCTTTCGATTTCTGCTGTACAGAAATCCGCCTTCCGCGAACGTTTTGCACGTATCAACAAGGAGGTTCTCGATGGTCAAAAGGCTCTACAAAAACTCGAATCAAAAGTCGCGCTCGAGACCATAACCAATTATTTCCAAGCCCCGGAAAATCAAGACAGAAGTTGGCTTGTCGCCAAGCTCCCCATCTCTGCGAATTCCAAGGCGATTAGCGAATCTCTAAATTACGTTAAGTCAAAGTTGCCCAATAAGTCGGTATATGTTTTGGCTGCAAGCACCGATCAAGGCCGTGTTGCCCATGGCTGTTACGTGTCGAAGGTAAGTCGTTATCGTCATTACTCCGGCTCTATGGCATTGAAACTAATACAATCAATAATTTTTATAGTCATCAAGCGAGGCCGGTGCCTCCGCTAGTGAGTGGGCAGCTATCGTTTCTGGTGCAGTCGGGGGAAAGGCGGGAGGTAAAGGAGCTACTTCAGTCGGCAATGGAGTCAATCCCGACAGAGTGGACGAAGCTGTCAGCTTAGCTTCTGATTACCTTAGCAAGTTGAAGTTATAGGTTGTTGGTTATGCTGTAGCCAACATCTAGTGGGATTAACAGAAATCAAGGGACCGATAGTGAAATTCACCAAAGGACAGCCAATCTTTTTTTTCTGATCTTAATGCTTATGGCTCTTTTCTTTTTATCTCTGTATAACAGAATTGGGAAATATCATGCCACTAAAATCTTGTTGTTAAAACCTCCTTCGAACATTGTGTCACATCTCCCCACATTGCACAATCAGAACATCTTGGTTGGGCTTATCTCGGGTCGTTCTGGTGTTCTCAATCATCCGCACGACATCCATCCCTTCCACCACCTTACCAAAAACAACATGCTTGCCATTCAAAAATGGGGTTGCAGTTGTTGTAATGAAAAACTGACACCCATTTGTGTTCGGACCAGAATTCTAGGGAAATTAGTCATTGTATAGTTCGATGGGTGTCTTGTGGCTCATGGACTTACTGCCATACTAAGTAGGCCAGCATGGTCATGCTTCAATAGGAAATTTTCATCTGAGAACCTTGGAGTGCCGTATATGGTACAAGATCCCGTTCCATCTCCATTAACGAAGTCACCACCTTGGATCATAAAGTCTTTGATCTTTTCCGATGTGGTAGGATTAGCATCTTTCCATCCAAATGCTTAATGGATCCTCTTATAAACATACTACCCGATGGAATTTGCTATTTTTGTATCCCTGCGGCCGTCCCTGTGCATTTTTACTTTCTCCCGTACAGAACTGGCGGAAGTTCTCTGCTGTTCGGGGCGTAACATCGGCAAATAGTTCCATCTTTATACGACCTAGAGGCTCGCCTGTCATAGTGATATCTCAGTTACTATCCATTTAGTACTCAGTTTGTTGCACAGTGCAATCTTTAACACTGTATGAACGAGTAGCAGCACAACACCAGCGAATTGACATATTGATGGAACTCATTTCAAGTCTTTTATATTGACGTGCTTTTGTAGCTTGACTGGGTCAGGAGAACGGGGTCGCAACAGATTGTATCATCTGATGTACATACCTCCTAAGGCTATATCAAAGAAAACCACGGGATTTCTGTCTATATGCAAGGTTGAAGTTGTGCTGTTCATTCTGTTCACCTGTCTGGTTTCTCTTTATGTCGCTGCTGGTATCGTGCGTGCGATATCGATCTTGTTGAAAACCGGATTCGTGCTAGTAGCTACAAGTGGTTGAGAATCGATGGCCATGACGATGTTTCCTGAATTGGGTGTTTCTATTTAATTTTACTACCCGTCCGTCCCCGCAGTGGGTTCCGACATGATGGATCGATCGCCTGCCCCCGTGACTCGGGACGCCCAAGTCTTAGGTGTCTGTGTTTGGCGACCACGACGTTGGAGTATTTGTTCTCACTTCACCTCCTCTCCCCCCATCGAACTTTGCGAGCATCTAACACCAGATTAGGCTCCTTTTTGAAAGCCTGGAAGCTCCAAATATATCGGTGTCAGTGATGATCTTCCCGGGGCGCCCTTTAACATGAGCCTGGGAGTTGGTGCCCTCATCTAGATGAACTTAAGGGATTGTCGACCAACCTCGCAGAGACAACCTATAACTGAGAAGTGTCTTTCTACTTCGTTAATTTGAAACACTGCATTTAGTATTCTGCTATACGCGCAACAATTTCCCATTCTTTGACACCCTCTTCGGCATAGTCTGTCTATTCAAGTGAACGTTGTCCACCCCTCCCCCCAATCGCCGCCTTCTGTCGACATGTCCTCAACGAGCACAGGCTCCCCTTCCAGTGCCACTAGTACAGATCGTAATGGGAACAACAACAGCTCAAGCCCTACTAGTTCGCCTCTACTATTTTTCGTCGCCCTCGGGTTTGGTGTTGTTTTCACCAATCTATGGTATGTCCAAGTTGGTATCACTAAGCCTTTGCTGCGCTTATATGCTCATCTGACCATCATATTTCAGGATCATCGTTGGTGTAAAATATTGCTTTCGATACAACCAACGCAATCGCCAATTACGCAGTGAAGAGACAGGCGAGCCTATAGATCTGGTCGCCATGCCACGAACGCACCGAAGACGCCGAGAAAAGAAGCTGATGACTATGGACGACGTCAATGAGAGGTTTCCATTGACCAAGTATAAAGCATGGAGGTCATCCCGTGAGAATGAAGGCCTTCCTACTGCAGGCGGGATTTCGGCACCAAATAGCCGGTCGCAAAGCCTCAAGGATGAGAACTACATGTTATCTGCTTCGCTTGGCGCACCTTCATCCATGGTGGCATCGCCACTCAAAAGCCATCAGCGGGTTGATTCAAACACTTCGCAGACGTCTGCACCACTAGAACACCTGGAGACAACGCTACCACATTCTGAAGAGAAGAGCCAGAGATATCCCGAGCCAAGCCCTGCAAACATCGGAGTAAACGACAACGCCAACATATCAGCCCCGGAGCAGCCCCGTAACCACGCGCTCAGCCATGTCATCGTAGAGGATGTTGGAGACCTTGAGGACCATATCCGCACCGCTGTACCTGCCGATTTCCTGGCAAATCCAGGTGATACTTGTGCTATCTGTCTGGATACGATCGAGGATGAAGATGATATACGGGGGCTTACATGTGGACATGCTTTTCATGCTTCTTGTGTTGACCCATGGTTGACAAGTCGACGGGCTTGCTGTCCCCTATGTAAAGCAGATTACTACATCCCGAAACCTCGCGCAGAAACTTCTGAATTGCCTCCTAGCTCAGAGCGTCAGGGTCGACGTGGCATGACACGAGTGACACCTATAAACCCGCCACAGGCTGTTTTTATAGGTGGAAGAGTGAACTTCCTGCGGTCGTCGTCGGGTTTTCCGGAGCAGCATGCGCAACGGCGCCCCTTGACCCACAGAGCGGGCTTCTCGCGATTGCGCCTTTGGCGAGCGCCTCAATCTAACCACCAGCCCACATCTCCTGCTCCCGACACTTCGTCTGCACAGTCAAGTCGGAGGCATCAAAGGTTAGGGATTTTCAATGCATCCTACTTCCCCTTGAACTTCGGTTTCCGAGGCAATCGTGCATCGAGGGGAGTTGTGAATAGGAACGCAGACGTCCGTTATTCAGATAACAACCGAACGCTTGGTGAACTTGAAGCAGGACCTTCTATATGATACGATTCTTTTCGTTTTCACTCCTCAAAGACGTCTGATCTATATACCTTGAAGTCTCGTGTGTTCTCTGCCTCTCGACATCTGGAATGCCGGTTGGCAGACTAGTGGTTATCCTTGCACAGGGTGCAGCACACGCCTGCGGCTTTGTACAGTACATTGATGCACCCGCCCTCATAGGGTAATGTGTCCCTGCTTGGCTGAGGTCATGTCTAGTATCTCCTATCACTGTAATTGATCAGCTCATGTCGACTTTCTGGGCACGGACCCTGGCGTTAGTTGAGACTACTTGAATTTAGGCCAGACTACTTGGTGCAGGTGAGAAACCGGTAGCATCTAGCTTTTAGCGGGCAATGCATGGCTGGGTATCTTGGCGTTGGCATTTTTCAGGGACTATTTCCCAACCTTTTAACTCAAATAAAATTGATTTCTTTTTACTTTTTCTTTTATTGTCTTTTTCTTCCTTATTTTTTCCCGTTAACTTGGAAGAACTGATCTCAAATGGCATGGCTAAGTTCATCATACTGGCCATAGTCTACTCACTTGCACCATCCTCCAGGGTTACTCTCCAAATTCCACGGATGTTGTAGGTTAGATATTGGATATTTCTAAGCTATGTTGACAGGTAAGGTAGCCATTTCAGTGAGCATTGTGCGACAATAGTTATTGTTGACATTAAGACAATGCAACGCTCCCAATCTTCGTCGTCCCAATGTTATCGCTGACCCTATATCCGCTTTATAACATCGGGCGAATCGTCTTGTCCAGAATGAAATGATATCCTGAAGGCAGCATCTATAGTCACTATAAAGCTACCCCAATTGCGATGATAAGGGAAAGACGGTAACGAACGTCTCCATTCTTTGGCATGTTGGTCCATCCCAATGCAAGATTTGTGTGGCGCCCAAAAGATGTCTGCCTGTGGTTTCTCTAGACGTCTATATATAACAGTCAGTAGCAGCCACCCCACCAGGGGTTACTTGTAATAAAATCCGAGTGCGCAGCAAAAGTTGGTTGCGTCATGACATGATATGGTTGAAGAATAGCAATACGGCATAAGGGTAGAGGAAGCATTGGAGGCGTATGGGATGCCAACACTGGTATCGTCCCAAGCCATCTGAGCTTCGTAAATGCAATCCTCGGTCACCCTTACAGGCCACTGGTGTGGGTAGGATTGTAGAATGAGTATAACTCTTAATGAATATCAAGTTGGATAGCTTGGTTGTTGAAGTGGAGGATGGCTGATGTTGTTCAGGCAAAAACCCAGCTAACATCAGGACAGATTATCTCAGTACTCCGTACTCCGTACATCATGTGAAGTTGGGGAACCTCTATGGCTGATAAGTTGGCTTGGCTCACGTGCTACAGCGGCCGGGCCTACTAACACGGAATAACACTTTCTGCTCCTTACTATACTATGGCAGTGGTAGTGTTTCTACAAATCACAGAGACTACGGTATTCGCTATACCCCTTTGAGTCCGAAATTGAAAAATTGCTGGGCGTAAGCCTTGCCCTGGTCAATTGGTTCAATCCGTTACAACCTATACCAGCAGATTGGGCAATAAAGCTACATTGATTATTTGAAATGTTTCTCGAATAATCGAAACCGGCGGCCGAGTTCTCTCAATGTATCATGCTAGACGAATACTTCGAAAATCCCAGGTAACATTCCGGATAAGTCAACCATTACCTCGGGATTCAAGCTCGGTCACTATTCGTCAACTACAGGTTAAACGCCCGTGGGCCAGGTATGCTGAGCAGCTCATAGTCCAAAGGTGTCGTGGTTTCAATCCCTCTACTCACAAGTGCTTCAGGAGATTCATAGCTACCTTTTTCTTGTGCGGGACAGCGCTTCATTTGTTAACTTCACTCGCTGTCTTGCGGTTTGATGAGTCACTCTATGATACTGATCAGTCACCGGAGAATTTGCCAGGGCTCGATGCCTCATCCAGAACTGGGAAGTTTGACCCGGACGAATATGTTCCTCCCCAATCAGAACATGCCGCTACTATACAAACCCGCTTCCTTCCCCTGGGCTGGCCTCGCTTACACGAAGGAAACTTTTATGCAGCGACAGACCCTGAGTGGCAAGCGTTTAGGAAACTAGCCCTTGACAAGAACAAGCTCTCGGGTTTGAAAGGTATTTGCGAGCAGATGGTCATTCAGTCATTCTGAAACTAACCAGTCATGAACATATAGAGGAGTTAATTTCGGCTGTTTTGGATGCCTCATCCCAAACACGACTACTTGATTATATGCTGGGGGGTCCACTGTCTGTCGCAGGAGCTTGGCTAGAACACCGATTTCCGTACCGTGCACCCCCTGTATACTATCGGCCTGGGTATGTATGCCTCGATTAGTACAGTATATTTTGCTCATTGATACAGACTAGAACTATCTCAGAATGGTCTCGCCTGGGTTTCGAAGCCAATGCCCGCAGAAGACGGCGACTGCCTGCACAGATGCATGAGGCCTTTATTAGTGGCACACGCAATTAAGGATGCTTTTTGGGTTCTGTGGAGCAGACAGATCTCCCGACTTAGCCCAGGCTTGATGGATGAGCAGATGTCTGGGTCTTTTATTTCTTTAGATGCAAATTTATTGCACTCAGTATTGCAAGGGTCGGATGGAGTTGACGACGTTTCTCGATTTGTGTCACAGCCGCCTCCCCAGAACATCCAAGACGGCAGCCCGTCAACCAGGGACTGCTCCCGTCCACATACTTCATTGTGCATTACTACGTTGCAAAAATTACCGCTGCCAAACCTTGGGCCTGGTTCCGATCTACGTATGGCGCTGCTGGCTTTCAAGTGGCGATTAAATCACTGCTGGGCTCGCAATGCGCACACATCTCGTCGCGGTGTCATGTACGTTTCTGGTCCTGTTGGTATACGAGGCCCTAGAGGGTTGTGCAGAGTGGAGGTGAAGGGGGAGTATGATGTTGTGAGGTCTCAATGGACTGCTATCTCCATGGATATTAGAGATCTTAATCTGTTCAGTCAAAGGGCACTTGGTCCCCGTTAGCAAACCTAATGTCCATTGGCTGTAACTCAACTGGCTTGTGTAGACCACCGATCCCCAAGCGTACCAGTCAGCCTCAATATCCTCTTAAACTTTACCCCCTCAAAGCATTGTGAGATACCAGCGAGGGACATGGTTTGGTGTGTTTGTCAGTCGGTCTCCTACAGATTAATTTAGGTTCATGAAATCCTTTCGGAGACCACAAACGGAGGGTTCGGCTTGAAAACGGTTTATATGATGCGGGCATAAAACGGACAGTACGGCGTCTCAATATGGACGTGTATACTTTTCTTCTACCTTGCCGAAGTCCGTGCTGCCAGCCAAACTACGTACCACCACTTCAGATTCTTGCTAAATATGTAGGGCGACTCGATTGCTACTTATTTGTTATTGGTCAAGCCAAGTGTAGTGAGCTTTGATATTTGTATTATACATGAAGATGAGCCACTTTTTCTAACTGGTACTAAGTAGCTCACGTATGATTTTGATTGTCAATTAACCACCAAAATGTTAATTTTACTCACAGCCGCGCTGGCCATCCATCCCAGTCAGCCAACAATGTTATACCATATACAGGTCAACTTTTATATCAAAATTACTAGTAGATCTTCTTTGAGCCCTAGCATCAACTTTGAAGATTGAATAAATAGTGATTAATGTTATCAGTAGTCTTTTATATCTATAGAACGTATCTCTTTTTCTTTTTCTTTCCTTTCTTCTTCTTCTTTGAGAATATATAAATTTTCTGATTCATGAAACAGAATTCTATTCAGATCCGAAAATTTTATGATAAACTTAATATAATTTTAATATGATATATATCAATCTAAAGAGTGATATATATCATCACACTGGTTAAAAAATCTTGTCTCTTTGTATAGAATCATGTAGATAGCTGACCCGCAGCTGGGGGTTATCTTAGCATGTGATGACCTGACCAATCAATCATAAGTAAGCTAATTGGTTAACTGACTAACATTAGTTAGTTAATTGATGTGTAATCACTCTACTCCCGCAGATAAGCACAGGCTATGTAGAGGGGCACCCTCTTTCCAGCTCACTACTACTCAGTGTCTATACTCCAAAGACAAGGCTTCACTATAGTCGGTGTAAAGACAATGGCTCTTCATCCCAAATTTTCGGGTCAGAAGTTGTTGACGGCCAATTCACAGCAACCAAGGCACACCCTCGAACTCTGTATGTTGATCTAATACTGATAATGTTCCTTCTGTACCCCGATGACTAACGCATCGATGATCGAAGACCTTGACTATGTCTGCCCTGTTAGTACTTATACAGCACCCTACGCAGGAAGAGTGTACTAAATATACTACTTCCAGTACTCTGCAAAGCTATTCAGCACATTCTACACATCGGTGAGACCAATTATCTTACAAAACTATCAATCAAGACTTCAGGTTGTCTTTCGTCAGCACATTCAACCTTGGCATCCATCATCCACTCTGACGCATGAAGCTGGTGCGGCGGTGCTGAGAATAGCTCCAGACAAGTTCTGGGAATTTAGCGTTGCACTGTTCAGTCACCAAGAAGAATTTTTCGATGTCAGTGTTGTTAACGAGACACGCAACAAGACATATCAGAGACTTGCGAAGATAGCCGCGACAGTTGGTGTGAATGAACACGAGATGCTCGAATTATTGAACATCAGCGAAGTTATTGCTGATGGACAGTTGAATACCGGCAATAAGGTGACGAATGATATCAAATTGATGGTCAAGGTGCGCCATTGAAATATTGTTACTGGGCTCAACATTGAATCCTAACTAGATATAACAGTCAGGTCGAACAATCGGCGTCCATGTATCTCCGACCGTATATTTCAATGTAAGCCGTCTCTTTATTAACTGAGCGAACTGGTACACTGACCCCGCTGGTTAGGGCGTCGAGGAACCAGGTATCAGCAGCAGCTTCACGGCCACACAATGGGAGCATTGGCTGGCCATGAATGTAGCGTAGGAATTGTGCTCTAAAAGAGAATGGTATGATAACAGGAGGTATTCAAGTTCAGATGATAATTGTGGGCATTCTTTGGTAGCAAGGAGCATGTCTCAACAGGATGAGATGTCTGAATGCAATCTAATCATATGGGCCTTCTTGCATGCGTAGCACCACTATCAGTGACTGTTGATTTTGAATGTCGTATTGGTGTTTCGGAGGCGACGGGGGCAAGGTTGCATCGGTAATGTTCCAGCTGACAAGTTACTGTGATACTGGCGGCTGATAATTCAAGGGGCGCCTATATGCGTTGGTTAGGTATAGAGAGCGATGACAGGGTTACCATACTTACTTAAATAGAAGAATATGTGGTTCTGGCTCGTGCACTTCATAATGCTCCCAACCCAAGCTCTGATAAATGTATTAGACCTCTTACATCAATAACTTTGTTCGACCTCTTCTTACGTACTTGTGTGATACCAAGTGCTCGCCATTCATCCTCCCACAGTAGTTTTAGCGTTCCCTTTGAACTGTCAAAATAGTCTGCAGGGATTTTCTTGAGCATGTTTTTGGGAAGTTGGACATGGCGGTATTCGAACTGATCATCTGAGTATCTGTGTTTACTGTAAGGTCAAGGCACACCAAAAGATTGTCGCTTGTCTGCGGCGTACCTAGCTGAATAATGAATAGAATCAATGAATTCCTCTAGCCTCTCCCGTTCAGATTCTAGCAAAGGGCGGGGCTTTTTATTCCTTCTGCTCATATCGATGTCCATCTGGAAAAGCGGGGGTAGCGGGGCAGACACTGTCGGAATCACTGCAGTCGGATTGCTGTTAGAGAAAAAAAAAATCCGAATGGTACATTGTTGCGATTATTGATAGAAAGTCCCAGCCTGTTCTTCACATATGGTCCAAGCAGACACTTACAAGTAAATAGTCGTTTGGTAGCAGAGTGAGGCAAAGCAAATGGGTGACAGGACTTCGAGTCTCACAGATATGCAAATAGCGTTATGGCGACGACTTGTCGAAAGATGTCTCTTCTCACTGACCTCTGGAGTGTATAACAAGCGAGGTGTAGATCGAAGCTGTCTTGGTTTAAGGGCGTAGAAAGAGTCTCCATTAAGATGTCCGAGCAGTGACTCTTCGACTGTTTGGGATACAAGTGGAGTAGCTACCCGCTTTAGTGCCTAAGGTATCAAGAACTGATACCTGGACCAGATAGCTGTTGGCTGAATTATGTTATTATCATACCGAACATGTACAAGTCAGGGTCATAAGGGACCTAACTTCGCTGAAAGATTGGAGGAGCACAGTCAGACCCTTTGGCTGCCTACTCTTATCTTCCCACCACAATTTTGTCAAGGATCGTGCGGGCTTACTGGATGGCTTATACTAGGATTTTTCTACACTCACAGTGTGATACCAAATCCGATTATTTGTTGGTAAAAGCTTGTATGGAGAATCTTAGGGGACAAACTTGCATACTGAACATGGAAAAGGGAACCAAAATCCTAGTGAAGCATAGTCAATACTTCTCGACTACAATGCCCCAATACTGAGTACTACGTATTAGTATCTACGTACTAGTAGTAGTAAAGAGCCGAAGAAAGAATCGCCTGATTATCTAAGAAGTGAAGTCCAGCAGCCAACCAGGGCTTGAAACCCAAGTTTAGCTCAGCCGAGAACGCGCCAAAACCGGTAGTCCTCGAAGAAGCGGATTGGGTGAGAAATGAAGGGGCAAAAAAAAAAAAAAAAAAAAAAAAAGGAAGGAAAAATTGCAAAGTGGGTTTCTTTTTTTTTCATCCAAATTTTAACCGCTCCCACTCCAGCGCCTGGGGCAAAATTTATTTAGTCTTCCTCTCCTCCAACAATCGTCCTGCCTTTTGGCATCATTCTAATTTTTCTATCCTATCTCTCTTGAGACATACACATTTGTCAAAATGGCCGACGAAGTTTACGAAGGTGCCATCGGCATTGATCTTGGTGAGCCATTTCCCTACCGTGTTGTCCCAAGTAGTGACTGACGAGATACTTCAGGAACCACCTACTCTTGTGTGGCCAACTACGAGGGTACCAATGTTGAGATTAGTATGTCGTTACCTGTGTCCTCTAGATACGGCGCTGGTGAGCTTATAAACATGCAGTTGCCAACGAGCAGGGTAGCTACACTACCCCATCCTTCGTTTCTTTCACCGACAAGGAACGCTTGATCGGTGAAGCCGCGAAGAACCAGGCCGCTATGAACCCTACGAACACCATCTTTGACATCAAGTAAGCAGATTTTCGCTGGACATGTGTTCACTATTAATCGAATACAGGCGTCTGATCGGTCGGCGGTTCGAGGACCCCATCGTCAAGAAGGATGTTGAGTCATGGCCCTTCAAGGTTGTTGATCAGGGTGGAAACCCTGTCGTTGAGGTCGAGTATCTTGGCGAAACCAAGACTTTCAGTCCCCAAGAAATCTCTTCTATGGTCCTGATGAAGGTAACATTCCTTTTGGTCCCAACCACGCGGCATTGCTTGCTACATTCCCTCTTGTGATACTGACAGACCACGCTAGATGAAAGAGGTTGCGGAAACCAAGCTCGGAAAGAAGGTCGAGAAGGCAGTCATCACCGTGCCCGCTTATTTCAACGACAACCAGCGCCAGGCTACTAAGGATGCTGGTGCCATTGCTGGTCTCAACGTGCTCCGTATCATCAACGAGCCCACTGCAGCAGCGATTGCTTATGGCCTTGGCTCCGGCAAGTCTGATAAGGAGCGTAACGTCCTCATCTACGATCTTGGTGGTGGTACTTTCGATGTGTCTCTCCTTAACATCCAAGGTGGTGTCTTCACTGTCAAGGCTACTGCTGGAGATACCCACCTTGGTGGTCAAGACTTCGATACCAACCTCCTGGACCACTTCAAGAAGGAGTTCCAGCGCAAGACTGGCAAGGACCTCTCCGGTGACGCGAGAGCCCTCCGTCGTCTCAGAACCGCTTGCGAGCGTGCTAAGCGTACCTTGTCCAACGCTACCCAGACTACTGTGGAAATCGACTCTCTGTTCGATGGCGAGGACTTCAACTCTTCTATCACTCGTGCTCGTTTTGAAGACCTGAACGCTAAGTCTTTCTCGGGTACTCTCGAGCCTGTGCAGCAGGTTCTCAAGGACTCTGGCCTTGAGAAGAGCAAGGTCGATGAGATCGTCCTCGTTGGTGGTTCCACCCGTATCCCTCGTATCCAGAAGCTGCTTAGCGATTTCTTCGATGGCAAGAAGCTTGAAAAGGTAAGTGCTACACTCGCCATCTGTCAAACGAGTCTTGTCCTAATGAATCCGAATCAAAGAGCATCAACCCCGATGAAGCCGTTGCCTATGGTGCCGCCGTTCAGGCCGGTATCTTGTCTGGAAAGGCTTCTTCCGCTGAAACCCAGGACCTTCTCCTGCTGGATGTCGTTCCCCTTTCTCTCGGTGTTGCTATGGAGGGTAACATCTTCGCTCCTGTTGTGGCCCGTGGTCAGACTGTCCCTACTATCAAGAAGCGCACTTTCACCACCGTCGTCGATAACCAGACAACGGTGCAGTTCCCCGTTTACCAGGGTGAGCGTACCAACTGCGCTGACAACACCTCTCTGGGCGAGTTCACCCTCGCTCCCATCCCCCCCATGAGGGCTGGAGAAGCCGCTCTCGAGGTCGTTTTCGAGGTTGATGTCAACGGTATCCTCAAGGTTACTGCTACCGAGAAGTCCTCTGGCCGTAGTGCCAACATCACCATCTCCAATGCCGTCGGCAAGCTTTCCACCACTGAGATTGAGCAGATGATCGACGGTATGTTTGACGCAGTCTGAGATTAATTTAGACATACTGACAGTTTCTAGATGCTGCGAAGTTCAAGTCTAGCGATGAGGCTTTCACCAAGAAGTTCGAGTCTCGTCAACAGCTCGAGTCCTACATCTCGCGTGTTGAGGAGATTGTTTCCGACCCTACCATGTCGCTGAAGCTGAAGCGTGGCAACAAGGAGAAGATTGAATCGGCACTCAGCGATGCCATGGCCCAGCTTGAGATCGAAGACTCGACTCCTGAAGATCTCAAGAAGAAGGAGCTTGCTCTCAAGAGACTCATTACCAAGGCCATGGCCACTCGGTAAACAAATCTCTGTGATCCTATCATGGTCCTAGGTGCGGCACTATACAATTGCCCTTGCCTCTATCATTCACCCTTCAGTCCCACCATCGAACTTGCGCAAAGTGATCGATTTCTTTGCTTCACCTTAGATTGGAGACCTTAACGTCGTCTACGGAATTTCCTTTTAGATGAGGCGTGTTTATTCATGACCGGGTACAAAATTGCAAAAGTAATTTACGAAAATTTTATATATGAACTTCTTATCATCTTAATGCTCTTCTTACGTATGATTGCACGAGCCTCATGCCAAAAAAATAGTGTAGTGTCCCTATAAAGGCTGCCCCTCGTATCTCCATCACCACGGTTAGACTTTGGGAATGGAGACTTTTTTAGACTTGCCCTTTGAAACTGCCTTCCATAACCATTCTGTAGGTCATCATAGCTACCATAGCGAGCTGCTTGTGTTCTAATTGAACTAATCATGTAATCTACTACGCGGAGACAGCGGTGGCTCGCTTGGAGACGCGTGATCAGGAAGTGGCTCCGTTCCCTTTGCCGCGGCAGTGTATCTGACCAACTATTCTTACGCGCAGTTTGCTACAAGTAACTGTACCCCGCGTGGTTTTTTATTACTGATAAGCATATAGGACCCATACCCAAAAAAGTCAGACATCTGAAAAGCAGAAGAAGAGCGGAAATGCAACGCCGTGCGGCAGTTACCGGCCTCAGTTGTATGCGTCGCTGTTCAACGTTTACTGGGTTGCGTTATAACTTGATTTCTGAGCAACAACTTCGGCCTTGGACTCAGCATAAGATAGCACTTCCGTCTGGCAAAAGGAGCTTTTCCAATTCGCCTTTTTGGTGTAAAAAGAAGGAGAAGACGAAAGCTACATCTGGTGCAGATTCTGGGAAGCCGTCGCCAAAAGTAGGCGCAAGTTCCGAAGACCCGCATGATTTTTCACAGCTGCATGATGGCATAGCGGCTGCCCTGTCTCGACTCAGAGACGAGCTCTCTAAGATGCGCGTGGGGGGGAGGTTCAATACCGCATCAATTGAGAGTCTTCGTGTGCAGCTGAACAAGAGCAGCAAGCAATCGATTAAGCTGGGCGACCTTGCCCAAGTTATTCCTAAGGGTGGACGGATGGTGACTATCTTGGCCTCTGACGAAGATGTGAGTTACGGACTGATGCCTTGAAATTGTCTCTACTGTCGTGAAGCCTACGAATTCTCTCAACATTTTTTCTAGTCTGGTCCTAACACAAACTGTCTTCGATATAGCATGTGAAGCCCATTCAATCGTCAATAATTTCTTCCAACTTGTCGTTAACGCCACAAGCCGACCCCCACAACTCTCTTCAGCTCAACGTCACGATTCCCCCACCGACTAAAGAGTCTCGGGATCAAACGATCGCTATGGCAAAGGCGGCAATGGAGAAAGCTGCCGGTGCCGTCCGTGATTCACGCAGTGCTGTACATAAACGTCTTCAGGATCTGCAGAAAAAGAAGATTGCCAGGCCAGATGACGTTCGGAAGGCCCAAGAACAGATGGAAAAGCTTGCAGAGAAAGGTCAGAAGGAAGTGAAGGAACTGTTTGAGGCTACAAGGAAGGCCATGGAGCGGGCGTAATGAGGAAATACGCTGCTGCAAGACCGGCTTTGAATGAACTCAAATGGTGCTATGAGCACGAGTTCTGTAACTGATTTCAAAGAGTAATGTATTCTACAGTCACTTGCAATGCATAAATGTAAACAATGACAAAAATAACAAGGGATCATGAAAAGCTGCAAAAGTATAGGTACATAGTAAGGATACTGATGGTATCAGAAAACAAGGTTCTCAGGGGCGTTTTGTCATGCGACTGGCGGCTAAAAGCGAATCCAACTTCGCGATGAACGCAGAGGATTTGCCGACTGTGTGATACGTTGCATTGTTTCTGAGGTTCTCAGAGACAGTGTCAACGATTGAGAGATTGTCCGCCTGTTTGGCTTTAGACTTAGGATAATTGCCCTGAACAAGAAGTCCAATAAGTGAGCCTTGGTCCTTGGTGCTGAGTGGGCTGAAGTTGACATGACGTGGTTCCACAAGATCGCCTTTTCGCTGCGACAACTTATCTGCGCGTTCTTGCGATAGCTTGTTCGCTTCAGAAATGGCCTCGGCTTTTTCCTCTTCACTCGAAAAGCGGACAAATTTACCCTGATAGAGTCGCTTGCCCAGCTCATTTGGAGGTACATAGTCATTTGCATAGCGATCGCCGAATAAAGACAGCTTCTCAACGACTCCGGCAGTATGAGCGTCGATGTCGGTGGGCAGAGATGGCCATGTTTCCTTCAGTGAAGCTAAGGAGATCGACTCAGGATTGTACTGGACAGGCTTGGGCTGCGCTTGTTCTGCGAGCTCTCGTAAGACAGCGTTGATTGAGGCTTCATGCAATGCTGCATTGGATACTGAATCTTCCTGGCCGGACCTCTCGGTGCGTCGAGAACGGCCTGATCGCCCATCTTTAGATTGAACCTTCTTCCTTGGCCCAGTTTTAGGGCCCCGAGAAGTGGTGGATCGGTTGCCTCGAGGATTGCGAGCCCTGGGATTCTTGAGAATGTTTGCTGGCTGGCCAGTGGCTTGAGAGGCGGCGAGAGATCTCGCATCTACTATCCGTCGGGGACGAGGTCGTTCATGGTTGACGCTCCGAATGTTCAGGTTCGCCGGCGGAATGTTGTTTCTTCTGGGTTGCGCACTAGGACGTCCGGCGGCGGAAGAGGCCGCGGAACCCTCGGTTGCATTCGCATCTGCATTAGTTAGAAAGACGAGTGACTGTGGGCTGAGATATGATAGTATGCCCGAACGATAACAACAAGTGCCCAGGACAGAGACCAGTTGAGGGAGGGAAAGTAAGACGAGAGCAATGCAACTGTGAACTGGGCGGACGGAGACTATAGCGGAGCACACTTACTGGAGTGATTGTTGGAATCTTTTGCTTGCAAGTACGTAGCCGAAAACCGACGAATTGATGAAAGAGTCCCTTCTATAGCCCTGGCACGCCGAGGGCGTAGAAGCACGACCCGTTGGTGGAGCATCCTTGTTGATGGATATCTAAGGACTGGATAAGAGGGAGACTAAAAATGTTCGTTACCTCTAAATGCTCCAAAGTCACGTGCTGCGCGACAGAAGCATACTCCAGACAACTCCCGTGGGAGCGGCAAGCCTCTCTAGTCACTACTCATTATTATCGTCATAGCTTCGGTATCACGATCAAACATGTTGCGTCGCAAACCCACCGCTATAGCTATAACCTCCGAAGACCTTGCGACTTTTGAACAATCACGGCTCCGACAGCTCTCCAAAGAAACTCGTACCGAAGGCCATGCCAGCACTAGCTCCAATGTCAATCTTGACCCCAGCGATGAGCTCAAGCCATTGCCAGGGGACAAGGCGAGAATAGTCCGCTCGCGTGAAGAGCGCATCGGCATCAATCGACGCAATTAACTCTCGAAGGGTCTGTCCAACACGTTGGCTTCTCCTGGCTACCAACTCATGCCTAGTATTTCCTTGGGCATCATCAGCACTTCCCAAGACCAAGAGAGCCCCGATTGGCAGTGAACAATTCGAATGTCCTACTACACACATCAAGGTTTAGCCTTGCGCAGGTCAAATTCTGCTACAAGTGCATATATCACAGCAATAATATCACTCTCACAACTTGCGCATAACATCTCTTATGTCTATTCTCAACGGCGTGCTTGGTTTGTAATCTATACTGCGAATATTACACTTTTCACTATATCACGTCTCTGTTCCTGCCTGTCTCATAATTTCTTATGATTATAGTATCAACTGGGGTCGTCATAGAATGCAATTGTATAGAGACTATTGCGAGCCGATGGAGATTTATCTCGGTCGACCGAAGTGGCGCAACACAACAGTGCCAGAATGAATGAAAACAATCTCAGTGAGCGGACGCTCTTATATGCGGAGTGATAGATCATGCGATCACAGCGTTGATTTGAAATGAGATCCTTACGTTACGCGAGAGATAAAAGAGAGAGAGAAGCAGTAGCTAGAACTTTGAGCGTTGTGGTACTCATTTGCATAAGCTATCGTTTGTACATGGAAAGCATGTCTGTTTTGGAAGTAAAGTATCATGACCAGCATACCTACAGGAACCAGCTACCAAGAAGACACGCCAAGGTGGAAAGAGCGAATCTCTGTGGTGGGCGCTATGAATCGCAGCAACCAAGAACTCTAGAAGTGATCCTTGCGTTCTGAATTCAGCCCCGAGTCTCCCAGCTGTGCTGAATAGAACGCGTTACCGCTGGCGCTTTGAAGTGCCTTCGGTTCCTAGGTCGACTGAATAATTCCACCGCCGTTTGAGACCGTTTGGATCGTACACACTAGCTACACTTTGTTGCCAATCTCGCGCCGTGAACAAAACTTGTTGCCCGGTGAATTGAGTTTGTGGCATGGGAGCTGGCGCGACAGGGGTAACCTTTGATTGCTGCTCATATTGTACGGGGAAATGGTCAGGCAAAGAAGGTTGAACAGCCTGGGCAGGATTGCTCAAAGCCATTGGTGGAGAGTTTGTTGTCACAGTGGGTGTACCAATAGAAAATGCCATATCCCATTGACTACACAGTTTGTAACAGTCAGCGGTCATTTCTCGGTGTTAATATTCTTCTCTTGGGAAAGGGAGTTCTTACTTGATGATGCGAGTAGGATCCCAGCTATTTTCATCAACCAAAGGCGCATTCAATCCGTGGGTGGAGATTGATTGGGAGGGGATCAATCCCAAGGGCTGGAGCTGAGAGGAATCGGACTTTGAATCTTCAGTACCAGCTGATATTGGAGGGGTTACAGGATAAGCTGCATAACCCACTCTACTTTGAACGCCAGGTACTTGACTGATTTGAGAAGCGTAATGTGAATCTAGTGGCGGGCTTGGGTGATATGGCTCGGAGGGACTCCCATATGGGAAAGTTGGCTTCAAATCGAAAGGTCGGTTCACATCAGCTGAAAAGGCGAAACGCAATGAATCAATTTGCGCTTGTAACTCTGGCATAGGCCAAGCAGAAGAACATCGCTCCAGTATTCGCATGTGCCGTGTGAAGTATTCCCGCGCGTCCGTGTGAAAATTTGGGTCTGGAGATGTTATGGCCACCTGTTGTAGTGTTAACTGACCGTCAATACCATAAAAGCTCAGAATTCTCACAAGGTGCAGCATTGTGCATGTCAAGATGGTGTAGATTGTGAAATTTATGCCTCTTTGCATGAAAAGTAGGCCGGATAGCCCAAAGCGGTTCAGAATGGCTTCTTGGAGCCTACAAAGGTATTTTGCCGAAGAGTAGCATAACGCCATATGCATCTTCCAACCCCCCCCTGCCGCAAAAGATTTGGAGGCTATTAACTGTGGACGGTGCAATAGGATAATCCCAAGATGACAGTGGGAGTGCATGTTCCCGACAAAATGTGATGGAATCCAAGGTGGTGAGCCATCGGGAGGATAGTTGACTTGAAGATCCGGTGGTAAACTCTGAAGCCAGTCGGTAAAGAGAGGGTTCTTTTCAACGAACTTAGGATTAGCCCCCCAATCTTTTTGTTTCTTTATCTTATGGTATATATCGGCAATGATGCGGATATGGCGTGCATTTCGGACGAAGTATGCATACTGCCTTGACCGATCCATTTCGAACTGATCAAGGCCTCTGATATCCAAAGTCGGACTCATATTCACTGTCTCATGGTCCACACCATAATCGGAGCGCCCTGAGACTAGTCAGCCAGTATATACTACGAGAATCGGAAGACGTACCCTGCGGCGCCCCTATCATGACTTCGACAACTAAGAGGGCCTGCCAGACCCGTGTCTGCACCAAGCATTCTACAGGATTCAGGTCGCAAGACCTGCCTTCCGTGTGGAGATTGTTATGTTCATGGATATCCAGATCTTTCGCCATGGAGATGATTGTTTTGACAGTTTGCCAAGAACGGTAATAATAACCTTTCTTAGGCCGTGACTCTCGAGCCTTCAACAGTAGAAGCAGAGCTTGTATCGTACTGAGGCGAGGTTCGTCCATAAAACTAGATTCGTGCCCTAACAAAATGATTCGCAGTCAGTATACGACGCGGTCTACAGGTGCGTGGATATCTTTGTCGCCTCACTGTTTGCTAATGCGAGCCACTGTGCTCCTTGTGCCGGGTCGTCCGAAAGCCTCCCTGCGCATGCAAATAGTGCCTCGAGTAGAAGCGGAGATATTGAGCTTCGTTCGTGTTGCCACTGATAGTACAGATGAGATCGATGGATGACAGGGACGTAAGGATGTATATCATCAAAATATATCTTGAAATAACTCATGACCTCGTCATCAGATGGCATAAGTTCGGGCGGGATGCGTATAGTGGCGCCAGCTCCGGTACTGAGAGGTGGTAACTTTTCGTCTACTTCATCCTGAGTCGGGATTTCCGGTTCAGCCCTCTCCCTTCGTTGCTGTCTAATGTACGGCGCTGAGTCTATGTTAATACGTTCCGTCTGCAAGACACGTTACGAAGGTTGAAATATCTCACCAATACCAGTCTCGTCTATCTTGAGCTCCCCTAAAACCTCGCTGAGGTTCTCTGCAGTGGACTGGTCGTGCTCAGTGTATATATCACTTTCTGCGGCTCCCAGAGGCTGGGTTTGATCGTTGGAGAACATCTGAGACTGAGTATATTGATGATGTGGCGGTATGGCCACTTGAGACGTCCTCATGTCGTAGACATTTGGCTGACCTGGAGTAGAATGCGCAAATTGCGGATAGATCCCGATGTTGTCATTATATGGGTGCATGCTACTCATTGAAGGTGGTCCGGAATCTCGATAAGTTTGGGGGCTTGTATATGACGATAACGAGGGGTCTGATGTGTTCGACGCGCCCAACGAGTCGACAGGATTGGTTTCAACGCTTTCCGCTGCAGGATACTCGCCATCATGCCCGATTGTTGGAGGAACGCATACTAACTTCAAGCGTGTGCATGCCGAACAAGGCCAAGTGTTTGTTGTAGCAGCATCACACTTGATCTTCCGTTTCCTGCAGCCATTGCAAGCTCGCATTACTGAAGATAGGCTTGTAATCAGACGCAACGAAGTCAAGTCCACTATCGGTCAAACATACCTTTGAGCCTCTTATGCCTGTTATGTTCATCAACGAATACATAGTCTGTATCAAAAGTCGTCAACATATAACGGAAGTAATAAACGGGCAATTTATTCAGATGACAAACGGTAACTAAACGGGCGGAGGGGGGCTTACTTTTCTGGCCTTCCCTGGGTGGGCCTGTCGGGGGTGTGAATGTGAAACCTTGCATTTTTGCAGGGACAAGCGACACAAGTTATGAGGCAGCGCAGAAAAAGTGGATCGAATCAGCATGCACCAATCTTCAGGTCCCGGAGAAGGAAAAAAGAGGTTGAGGCAATGGAAAGTATCCGCAGGACCTGCCTTAATGCGGACGAAACCAATGTGGAATGTATTCTGAACCTTTTCACTGTCGACTTAATGGGCGCTAGTAGGGTCTTCACTCAATTGTAGCTTTAATCCCACACTTGCGCAATGGATGCCACTCCTGTTCTAGATAGGGAGAGGAGATGGGAAGGAGGTGTAACGAGTTGCGACCGAGAAGAACGATGCGGAAAGGTAGGAATATCTATCGTCAATCGCGGGAACAAGACAGCGTCATCCGGCAATGATAGAGTGTGACCTGTGATCTCTGTACTATGGTCTCCTGCATCGATCTGATCAGTCTTCGGGTCATAGATAAATGCCATAAAGACAGCGTAGCTATGAGAGTAGCGGAATTTGAGATTCTAGGAGTACTGGCGCAACTGACAGTTTCATAAAACGTAAGCTTCAATAAGGTCGAGTTTGCTGCGATCCCATTAAGCGACGACAAGAGAGAATTAGAAGTTCAGGGAAGGGAAAGATATGAAGAAGCTGCGATTATATATTACCAGATGTCAGTTGTAAACGATGACAGAAGTGAGGACAAATGATGAAAGGTAGGGTAACAGTGAGAATCCGGGCCGGGGACGGGGAAAAGACTATCATTGAGGGCATAACTCGAGAGGGGAGGGAAACAGAAGATGACTTCTTGCATATGCCGGAAATCCAAGAGCGGCCAACATTGAGATATGGGAAAGAGATCCACGATATATGGTGAAGGGAACGTAAAGCAAGCGGAGGAGTTGTTGGTACCTGATATGTTGAGTTGAATGACTTTCATCCAGTCTGCATCGTTGACCAGTAACGTCAGTATGGAAATCTCGCCATTGACTTTGCACTATGAAGGAAGATGAAGTCGATTGGCGCATCACACTTGGAGGCGAAAGTCACCATCTGCATGAACCGGTGTTGGTACGGAGACGGCTAGAGGATCAAACGCCGGGCTTGGGATGATGGGTAATTTGCAGGAGCAGTACGGAGTAGAGGCTTGGGATAGCAGAGAGGCAAGGAAGATAAGAGCATCAGGGGAATCGAAAGCCCACCGATACAATCAATGATTTTCCCGGATGGAAATAGGATCTCCGTATAGGAATAGGGAGGATGCCGGGAACTTGATGCGGTCTCCTTAGCTAAGTCATCACTCTTTGCCGCCTCATTCTCCTGGTAACGTAGTTGAGCCGTAGATATTAGCAGACAGTGTGGTTCGTAGTAGTGCACGGAGATCCGAGCGATCAGTCAATAATAATAAAGAGACGAGACGAGTGTGCGGAGACCCGACAACAGGGGTGGGTAAACACGCTCGATACCCTGAGGAGGAGTAGAAGCGGGCGCGTGGTGGAAGGATCTTTGGCCTGGCCTAGGTAGTAGGTATGCACCACTTTCTAAGGATCGTTTCGGAAGTTTGAGGGGCCTTTGGAACTAAAACCTCCCCTCCCCCCCCGGGTCACTCCCAGTGGCACCCAAAGTAGTGTGTGTCTTCAAAATAGGCCGGGCCTCATGGCCGTCGGTTTAATGGGACCGTGGTCCCCCTCGTCCCCTCCACGGGAAGGACGATCCCTAGTTAAAATCGGGTTCTTAAAAGGATCTTGATCTTCTTGGCCTTGAAAATAGTGCCCCGAACTACGGATTGCGACGTACAGCTATTGATTTTCATTAAGGGGGAATTCTTTTTTTATTTTCACTTTTCCCTTTTCCCTTTTTCTTTTTCTTTCTTTTTCTTTCTTTTTTTTTTCTGCGCGTATTGTGTGCTTTCAGTATTAATTCTGGTGCTTCAGGATGTTGTAGTACTACTAGTAGACTTTTCCCCGCCCATGCGTACTTAATTAATACACGATCCACGCCCTCGTGCACGCTATCTAGCCCACCGTATCCAGTAACCATGTAGCTACTCTGTAATAGATAGATAGTACCAGTTAAACAGACTAGACTAGTACTAGCAGCATTATCCATTATGGAAAATGGCTTTCAATTACCTGTGTGTACAAGATGCCTTGGTCGTAATGTGACACTGACCGTTCCCCCCTCCCCCCCGGCCCCTCCGGGTCCCTCTCCTCCTCATTTCCTTCAGCTGACGCCAATCTCAACATGTCAAGAACTCGAAAGCGTCTTGTTTATCTCATCAAAACAAACCTAATGACTCCCGGAGGTTGAAGCAGTGGTTAGGGTATCACCAGAAATCTTTCTGATCCTGCTTGTCTGGAGTGGTAAGCTTACTGTTTCCCTTGTGCACGGCTAATGGTTACGGTACTGTTCGAATTAGTACCTAGTACTATGACACAAGCTATGTGTGAAATATGGAGGACCTTTGCGGAAGTAATTTGCTTGGGTCCCATTAATTGTTATGATCAAGCAACATAAGAGAAAGATTCCCCCCAAATAACTAATCAATTAGATAGCAGTGATGCGTCATTCTGTAAACCAACCCCTCCCTCCTCGCCCGCTCAGGAAACACAACAGCTCGCTAGGGTGGGGACTTCTTGGTCCTTTGTATGCGACTAGTAATCGCTGCTGCTTGACTTAAATTTGTTACACTCTACTGGATCTAGAACATGATCACCTGTTGGTAGCTGCCTAGACACAAGTAGGCTATGATGTTGATGGTATTTAGAAGCATCGACAGCATGGATATACTCATACTTACTGCGTTAGCGCTGCTGTATTCGGAAAAGTCATTTAGATTGTCGCAGTGCCTATGTACACTAGAGTACTCGAAAGGCTAGTCCGCCCACCCGAAGTTGTACTTTGCCCACCTGGCTGATGTTCATACGCACTTCTTGGGTATCTGCACGCGTTTGGTTCTTCTACCAATGTATTCGTTTCCCTCTTCCTCCTTACTCTGATCTTCCATTCTCTCTCTCTCCATTTCCTAGATCCATAAAACAACTAGTACAGATTAAAGACATAGAATCTTGCTTGGGTTTTATCTGCCGTTGGGAAACAAGCACGAGAAGCTTTTTCTTTTCTTTTGACCGATATCAAAAGCAACCAACCATCGGGGAAGGGAAAAAGGTTGTTCCATTTCTTCAAGACGCCGCATTAGTTGAGCATATGATGTGCTAGGGCTTACCATCCCCTCTTGTCCCCAATTTGCCCCTCTCGGTGCTTCTTTCGCGCTTTTATCGATAACCACTTGTATGCAGCATAAGCGATCATGGAGTCCTCGATGCAGAATTCGAATCCGACTATTTTGAATGCTGCAGATCTTCCCACCCGTCTGCGTCCTACATCATGCAAAGCGGGCACTTACGGAGGCGGAATCCTTGCGTCAGCGCTCCCCTCTCTAGCGGATCCCACCAACTTCAGTCTTAGTGAATCGGAAGAGTCTGATGAAGATGTTGATTTGATGGAAGAGCCGATTGATGAACAGGAGATCTACGGTAAGCTCATCGCTTGTTCCTAAACAAGGGGACCGAGTCGCCCGGGAGCCGATTACCTGACAATCTCTCAGATCTTGTGTCGACCATATCCGACCCCGAGCATCCCATTTCACTTGGAGCTTTGGCAGTCGTTTCGCTGCCTGACATTTCTATCCAACCAACCCTGCCGGATGTACCGAGCTCGCTTCTTCGCACAGTATCCGTTCTCATAACCCCGACGATAACACATTGCAGTCTGGCCACAGTGATAGGTCTTGGTGTACGAGTTCGATTGGAGCAATCATTACCTCCGCGTTTTCGCGTGGATGTCCGGATCAAGGAAGGGACACATAGTACTGCCGATGAAGTCAATAAGCAATTGGCCGACAAAGAAAGGGTGGCTGCTGCACTGGAAAATGGTACGCTAATGGGCGTCATCGCAAAGATGCTCGAAACGTGCCAATAATCCGATCGTACTGCTATTCGGACGCCGTTTATGACCCTCGTCGGCGTCTCTACTATGCCATAAGAATACCCGTTTCGACGATGACTCGATTTGACTTCCGATAGTTATACAACAATATGAAAAAGAAAAAAAGAACAAGAGCCACTCACGGCGCTTGTTGCCGCTTCTTTCCACCTATCGACAAAAAATAGCTCAGGAGTCTAAAACGCCACTTTCCTTCAAACCTTTCCAGAGCTCTGGTTCCAAAAACTTGCTGACAGTGACATCCTCAGCCAAACCTTTACGTCTCCGCGTTTTCAAAACGAAGTCGCGGGCTGTGGCCATGGCGGGCGCCATCTCTAAGGGCTTTAATTTGACATCGCGATCCAGTGGATCCCCTGGGACGACGCTCCACTTATCGAAGACTAGACTAACAGCAGCTTGGCCCTGTGTATGGATTCGGAGATCTGTTTCAAATCCGAATGAATCTATCACGGGGATCAAACCACGGACGGAATAGAGTGGAGTTCCTGCTATGGGTCCATCGGAGAGTACATGGCCCCTTCTTCTTGAAAGGACTGTGTACACTGAAGCGACAGCGTCCGCCGGGCCAGTCATCGTGCAAGAGTAAATAGGTTCCATTAGGCGTGGTGATGCCATGAGGAAAGATGAGTAAATCGCTCGTCGAGCTGTGGGAATGATTTGACCACCTCCCCTGTAAATGGCTTGGTCGGCGAGAGAAACGTCGGTGAGCCTGAATTTCGCATTCCGAATGGCTATTCTTGCAGTTAGTCACAATGAACCGCTCTTCTTCTGCTTCTATAGCGATATAACCCCCCCCCCCCTTATGCGTAGGATCTGGGTGCTATAATTCTCAAAACATTCAAGGGAAGCATGGTGCACTCACGTTCTTCGCAAAGAGGACCTTCTCGTGTTCCCCAAGTAAATCCTTGCGTGATAGAATCTCTTACACTCCCAAGCAACTTCTTGTCGATCTGCGATGGTAGCGTATCATCCTGTAAAATGTTGGGGCCCATCTCGTCTGGACCGAAAGCCCAGATACTCCTGGCTGCAAGTTTGTCCCAGTCGTACCGCTCTTCGAAAAAGCGCGATACTTTGCGAATCGGATCTTTAATGTTGACAGCACCGCTCTCGATATCCTCGGCGATCCCTTCATCCAGAGGCTCTGCGATCATCGTTATTTTGTTCTTCTTGTTTGGCGTGATCGAATAACACATGATAGCCGAGGTCTCCACAACAGTCTCGCAGAAGCGTGTAACAGGGTCTGAAACCTTGATCTCCATTTCAGAATATAGTCTTCGTAGGTCATGAAGCACGCAGTCCATATATAGCTCGCCCGTTCCGAGAACTACATGTTCACCAGACTCCTCCACTTTTGTGGATATCAGCGGGTAGCTTTTGTTGACTTTTCGGAGACCCTCAAGCATCTTGGGCAATTCCGACGGATTAACTGGCTCGACAGCAACCTTGAAGACGGACTCTGTTATATGCCGAACTGATCGGAAGATGTATGCATCCTCATCGTCTTCCAAGGTGAGAGGCACGATAGTCGCCGTCTTCACAATAGAGTTATCCACGCCTCCTAGAAGAACCAAGTTGCCGGCAGGTACGCCGCTTGTTGGGATGTTATAGCAAGACTCAGCAATCCATGTGTCGGAAATGGTCGCAATAACCATGTCTTCTTCATCTTCGGGGGTATAACCTTCGCCAAGGACACGGACCTGTTGGCCAGGACGAGCTGTGCCGCTCATTATCCTACCGAAGGAGTGAAATTTTGAACCGTCCGAGCTGTTAAAAAGTTTAGTAACATGTACGACCAGTGGACCATCGGAATCACAGGCAGCCATAGCTGCCGCCACCTTAGAATCGAGAGGCCCAGTGTAGTACCGCTCAAGCTTCTTTTGAGCACCCTCTGCAGGCGAAGGCACATGCTGGAGAACCATATCCACAAAGCCTGTTGCAGACCCGAAGAACTGTTCACAGACAAGGTTGAGTAAAGTCTTTGCATCTGTCTTGAGCTGTGACGGCTTAAGACTAATACCAACGCTCGAAAGCGTTTCCTTTAAGTCCTCTGGGCTCTCGCTTAATGTGTGCGAGTAAAGTTTGTATATGGGCTCGAGAACAAATTGAACAAACGTCCTTTTAGAACCTTCTTCCACTCCTTTTCGTGTGAATTTTCGACTCTTTGGATTGAAAAATATATCGCCCCATAGGCGTAAACAGAATGCGGCTGCTTCAACCTGTGGATGCGTCTCAGAATACATCTTAGCAAATGAATGCAACGTGAAACACCAGCCCATGGAGGCGCAAGCAAAAGCGACGTTTCCCTTCTCAGGGCTCAGGCGCCTTGCAGCACCCTGACCAGGCAGTACGTTCTCGATGATAGTGTTGACCTCCTCGATCACATGTTTCAGCTTGAAATAAGCGTCATTCGGAGGAATCTTCAATTCCAGGATTAGCCTGTCCATCTTGTTCACAACCAATGTGAGCGGCAAGTCTTCAAGGATAGCATGCTTGATTATCTGCTCGGTGTTGGCCTGGACACCTTCAACCACATCTACTACAAGAACCACGCCATCAACCAACCGACATGCAGTAGCCACCTCGTCCACAAAGTTCACATGGCCCGGGGTGTCAATGATGTTGAACAAGTGGGATTTGCCCTTTGTGCCCTGGAGTACCAAGCTCATGGGTGACGCTTTGATGGAAAGGCCTCTTTCTCTTTCCAGAAAGTGAACGTCGGTGTAGCGTAGTTGTTCCTCTTTCCGCTTGCCTGTTCGATTCTCGAGGCGACCGGTGAGATCATGGGTCTGAGTGACTAGCATGTCCATGAAAGCCGTTTTCCCATGGTGCAAATGACCGACGAGAGCGATGTTACGTGTTTGGTCCGGGTAGCTGAGCAGATCTGTCATAAATTCCCGTGAATAATAGACGGGAGGCAATTCGGCTTCTTCGATCGCAAACTTCTTCTGCTGGACCGGGGCGATGATGGGCTCGGACAGAGGCTGTGCATCCTCCTCCTGCACCAGAGTCTCGACATCCTCGCCATATACCTGTTGTGCACTGGGATAGTATTGTTTATCTTCGTGAAGGATGACCGCGTTTGACGGGCCCTCTGTGACTGGTATCAGTAAGGCGGACCTTGCAAACAAGATTGAACATGGAATAGGTAACTCTACCATCGACATCCATTAACTGTTGCTCATCGACATCATGCGCTTCATCGTCGTCACCATCCCCGAACGCCTCTTCAAAAGCGAAAGCCTGGGGATGGGCATCCTCATGACGCGGAGACTCCTCGTCCGACCCATCTACCTCTCCAATATAGTTGCCAAACCTGCCGGAAAGCAAAGAGAATAATCAGCCGTGCGCAGGGTGGGATGAGGGGCATGGTGACCAATTGAGACATACTCATCGTAAAGATCGTCCATTTTCCAACGTGGTTGGACTAGAGGCGAATCTTCCGGGTTTACTTTTCCTTGCTCTCGGCCTCGTCCACCAGCTGGAGAGAGAGGCTCGCGTCGGTTTGGCGATAAGTTTCTAGTAGCTCCGGGACCGAGCTTGGCGTGTTTGCATGGCTCCGGCAAGTTACTCCGAAAGTAGTACGTTTGTCCGTGACCGCCAGTGGCCGCCGCCCCGCCTCCCGAGGCGAAAAAAATAGGGTAATTATTATTGTTGTAAGGAGGGGCCGGCGGCGGGCAGGCCAACGAGTGACTGACTCGGAAAGCAAACAGTCCATCCCGTTCGTTCCCTCGTGGCCTGAGCTACCATTTCACCCTCATTTGTTATTTATTCAAATAGCCTGCCGGTCTTCCTTTAACTCCTTCTTCTTTCCCTCACCCCTTTTCCGAAATCGCTTGCCTTAAAAAGCACGCATTTGCGCCACCATGTCTTCCCTACCTCCGGTCTACATTGTCTCCGCCGCCCGCACTCCAGTGGGCTCTTTCCTGGGGTGAGACTTCACACCGGGCCGCCGCAGGCTCTCAGATAAAATGGTTCACAGCGAAGCTGATCCTAGTTCCCTTGTTTTGCAGTTCTCTCTCGAGCCAGACAGCTCCGCAGCTGGGTTCCCATGCGATCAAAGGTGTGCCCGCAGTGCTGAAGCGATGGATGATGTGCCCCCTGATCGCTGACTGCTTCGATGTCTAGCTGCTCTTAACAAAGCCGATGGGATCAAGCCTTCCGATGTACAGGAGGTCTTCTTCGGCAACGTTCTTTCTGCGAAGTGAGTTTTCTTGCTTCCTGTGTTCATGACTACCCTTTGCCATGATGCATGCTAATGGTCCGAATCAATCAGTGTCGGACAGAACCCCGCCAGACAATGCGCTCTTGGCGCCGGACTCGACGAGTCAACCGTTTGCACCACTGTTAACAAGGTCTGTGCCTCGGGTTTGAAGGCGGTCATTCTCGGTGCTCAGACCATCATGACTGGAAATGCAGACATCGTTGTGGCAGGCGGTACTGAGTCCATGTCCAATGCCCCGCATTACCTTCCGAACCTCCGCAATGGCGCAAAGTATGGCCACCAGAGCTTGGTGGATGGAATTATGAAGGATGGCCTGACAGATGCCGGAAAGCAGGAGCTTATGGGTCTGCAGGCTGAGGAGTGTGCTCAGGATCATGACTTCACCAGGGAGCAGCAGGATGAGTATGCTATTCGGACCTACCAAAAGGCCCAGGCTGCCCAGAAGGCCGGCCTCTTCGACGAAGAGATTGCACCTGTTGAACTTCCCGGCTTCAGGGGTAAGCCCGGTGTCACAGTTGCTCAAGATGATGAGCCCAAGAATGTGAGAATTCATTTCCCACGTGAGGCATCCGTGGTCCAGGTCGTTCATGTCCAACTGACTCTTTGGCTTTTATCTTCTAGCTCAACCCTGATAAGCTTCGGAGCATCAAGCCCGCTTTCATTCCTGGCTCTGGAACCGTGACGGCCCCCAACTCCTCTCCTCTTAACGACGGCGCCGCCGCTGTTGTCTTGGTTTCCGAGGCCAAGGTTAAAGAGCTGAACCTAAAGCCTGTTGCAAAGATTCTCGGATGGGGAGATGCCGCACACCAACCCAGCAAGTTCACCACTGCTCCTGCGTTGGCGATTCCCA